GAGCGGCAAGGAAAAAAGGCACAAGGGCAGGTATTGTGTCCATCCCACCATGTGGGGGCCTAATCCCGTATTCATTTTCACTCATGGAGTTATGTTCAAACAATGTGGCAGCATACGAGGCACTCATCATCGGACTTGAAATTGCACTCGAACTGCATATTGATTACCTTCAAGCTTATGGTGATTCACAATTAATCATCAAGCAAATGAATGGTCAACACGTCGTGAAAAATGAAAATCTAACCTTGTATTATGAAAGAGAAATTTGTAACTTGGCTCGACTACGTATAACTTGATCATTCAAAAAGGGTACGTAGGCAGCCTATCATCAAAAATGGGTGTAGTCATAAAATAATAATAATAACAAAAAAAGTAAAAAAAAATAATTCCCAAAAATCAAGGGATGAACTACGTTCAACTTGATCCCTTTATAGGGTACGTAGGTAGTCTAGTTTTATTACTAGATACAGTCGTAAAAACTATTTTCCCAAAATCAAGGAATGAACTACATTTGGCTTGATCCCTTCAAACAAACCACTCAAGCTCTATTCGACCAGATTCCAAAAGGTTAATAATGGGATGCAAAACATCAAACACCAGATTCACTTCATCACGACAGCCAAGAATTTCTGTAGGTGAGTTGCAAGAGGAAAGTTTGACAAAAATATTCTTTACTTCACTAATAATATATCATTGCCTAAGATGATGGGACAACTTCATCTGACACATAAGCAACTGAATTCTCCCCGTAAGGTTGGTTCATCACCTTTGCATGCAAAGATGGTGTAATCGAATTTTTAGACATCACTTCTGAAGTAAATTACCTGCATCAGCAACAACTACAGTTTCAATATCCACACCACTAAGATCATCAAGTTTCTCATAATGAGCACGCTTAAAATTCTCATCATGGCTACTCCCTAAAGAAGACTTTGGTGAAAAAGATGATAACCTTGCACTTCTTGTCAGCTATTGCATTCTTGTTTTTAGAAAGACCAGAACTCTGACCAGTTTGTCACAATCTAAGACTCTCACCAACTGGTCGCAAGCTAGGAGACTTCTCAATTCCCACTTCAGAAAGCAAAACTTCTTTTCTCAGACCTGGGGATATGTCTCTCAAGACTGACACAATAAAAATTGTCTTTTTATTAAAAGGACATTTATTGAAGATAGCGTAAATATTGGTCAAAGAAGTCCCAAGATATGTTGCACAAGAGGTCCTCCACCACTTGCAATTGCAATACCAATATGTACAGGTTCCTTGATGAGTTGAGCGTGGAACATAAAAAAGAGATTAAGTGTTCCTCCTAAGAAGCACAACCTGCGCTTCGAACATATCCTCAACACTACAATTTTGTCTACTAGAAACACCAAATGCTAATTTGTTCGCTGGAACCCCTTGATCGAAGCCAAATTGACGAGCAAACCTATTAGGAAAATATGGTTCTATCCAAAGGTGTTCACCAATTTTGACAAGAACCTTTGCAGTGCGAACATAGACCAACAATTCAAAATGGTCATCAGATAAGTCTTCATTATCCATCAAAGAACAACCTTTCTCTTCCACAAAAGCAGTTGGGCGATAAATAACTGATTTTTCACTCCGGAAAATAAACCTTGCATAAGATATACTAACCTTCCTGGGTTCAATACACGCATATCTCGCTAAGGGAGGATAACCCTTAGGAAAATCACTGTCAGGACGAGGTCGGTATAAATATGGAAAATGCTCCCCTAACCAACCAACAATATAGTGAACCGGCATGGAAGTATATGTTGATCCAGGCCCCCTCGGACAAGAAGCAATATTCCCAAGGCCATGATAAATATAGCCAAGAACAGTGGGCGCAAGAGAGACTTTAGAGCCTTGTGCCATCAAACAAGCCATGGGGAAAGTCTCGGGCCTCATTCTACTGCCCTTTAATGGCAAAACAAATCTACAAAGCCAGAATGTTAAAAATGCAGCCAAGGCCCTTTGTTTCGTGACTTCCAGTGGGATTTCTTGGACCTTAAAAATCTTTTGCTCATTCGGGAACATCCGTTGATTTTCCTCACCATAACCCACATAAATTATTTTTCCTCGATAAAAATGAGCCAACCATTGATCCCAAAATTTTTGTTTCTACCCATAAAACTTGCACATTTGGGAAATGAACTCTCAAGAGTTCGAAAAAAGTAGACGGGTACACTCTTTCTTGCACAAGTCATGATTTGAAGGAATAAACTCTTTGTAAGGAGCACCAAGAATTGGTGAACCACCTATAACCTTCAAATCATATAATGAAATACTCATCTCTCAATTTCCCTGATGGAAGGTGATGGTTAAAGGACCTTATAACTCACAAAAAGCTTTCCATACATTGGATGAGTATCCATAAGGATAACAAGACACTGCCATAACGCCATAAATATCTGCTTGACGCAGCATACTTGCATAAGTTCATAGGGTAGCCTCTGTCCACTCTAGCACACCAACCTGAAAAGTAGCACAACCTGTGAATTTGACATCGGAACCCCATTATGTCTTCTCCCGAATCATTTTGTGTAGAAGCGGAAAAAAATCATGGTCAACCTTAAACTTGGTGTCTCCATTAGCCTCATTGTTCACTTTCATCAGAATATAGGCCTGAAATAAGTCGCCTTGATTCCGAGCAACTTTGATAGCACCATCTTCTGAAGTAAAGTCAAGATGACCAGAGTTCACTTTAGAAGGGAGAAACCAAGTGGGAGGATCACCAAAAGATAGATTGTAGTTAAGTGAAGCCAATGGAGAAGAACTCTTATACTCTAGACCCGTGGCAAACTCTTTTCCGTCCTTGTCAACAGCTTGCTGGATACAAATTTTTCCATTTTCATTCATTCCCTGAAATATAAAATGCGGGTCAACAAAAGTGGGTGATGGGCAAAAAGATTTGTTGGCCTTTCTTTCCTTAGCCGATAGGGTTGCGGATGTGTGGAGGAAAATAGTTTCTTGTCCCTTTAGACCATTTTTAACCATGGGCTAAATGTCAAATTCCCCCTTATCCCCCCTTCCCAAACCTAACCTAACCCAACCCAAGCCAAATCTTTGGGCTAAAAGCCAAACCCAAGCCAAATTCCCCCCAAAATTTAGCCCATGATTCGATGTGGGCCTCACCGAAATGAGTGAAACTCGGCGTCTGTGCACCAATCCCCCCCCCACCCACTCGCCTGACGCGCGCGACGCTCTACCCTTTAGACAGACAAGGCCCCACCCACGTGGGCCTGTCGGCCACCTTTCCCAGGCGTCCCAATGGCTACTTTGATCCGACGATCGCGATCAATAGGCCGTTGGTTGATCCAATGGCCTAGATTCAAATTTATATTTTTTTTGTTTTTATATTTATATATTTATTGAATCCAACGGCTGAGATCGAATATAATCAAATCTAATGGTAAAAAAAAAAAGATCTAAGGGCTCAAATTTAAATCCAAAGACTAAAATAATTAAAAAAAATTATTTAACTCAAAATTTACCAAAAAACTCTATAAATACCTATGTATTTGTTCAAACATCCATACAAAATTCACTTTTCTCCTACAATTATTCCAATTTTTCTTTCTACCATTTCCAAATTTTATGTTTATACATCTATATCATGATTTTCATATTCTTCCATAGTGTTTCATGAGTTTCATATATGGATGTAGTAATTTTTCAATATTTATCGGAATTTAAATATTTTTAGATTAAAATGTTCGTATAATTAATTTACGATAGTCTACATAATTTTTTTTAAAAGTAAATTTAAGAAAAAAATTAGCCTAAGTTCATTCTTTAATAATCCCGGACTAAAATTTTAGACCAGAAGGGTTGGAATAGAAAAACTATTTCTGAGCTAAAAGCTAAATTGTCCGAGCTAAAAAATTTGGCTTTTAGCCCAACGTTGGAGATGGTCTTAGAGGCTCCAAGAGAATGGCTTTGGATTATGTGAATATTTATGATAGGCATATGTAAGGCAAGGAAATAAAGTATAGTTTTAAAGGAAAACTAATGAAAAAGGCTTGAAAACTTTGAGTTTTAATGATAATGACAAAATAAAGGGTAAAGTGAATAGTACCAGGATTGACTTTTTAGTGTAAAAATGTGGTTTTTCGTTAAAGTGAACAGTACCAGGTGCTTTTCGTTAAAGTGAACAGTACCAGGTGCTTTTCGTTAAAGTTCCCTAGTTTTAATGCTTGGTCAAGGTTATATATTGCATTGTAAAGTAATATATTTGTTGAACAACAAAAAAAACTGAAGATGAATGGAAGTAAAGCTGCACATCAAAACCAAAGAGATAAAAATATCTTACCGTTTTGTACGAAGACATCAGGCAAGCTTCCAAAGCAAAGAGTCACCACCAAAAGACACTTGCAACAAATCAAGAATAAAAAAAATGAACTTGTGGAATATTCATTCAAATCCAAACAAAACGGAAAAAATTGAATGAAGCCTTACTGACCGTTCTGTTCTTCTTTTCAAAGAAAATAACAAATAGTAAAACAATGGTGCGGGAGAAGCTTGTGCGGAAGAACTGATCAAAAGAAATTCAAAAAAAGGTTTTGAAGAATGTTATTTATCTAAAACTACCAAAATGGGGGAATTTGAATTGCCTTCTCTGTTAGTCACCTAGTATGAGATAAACCCCTATATAAAAAAAAGAGTTTTGTAGCAAACAAACTTCTCAAAAGAAAATAGGAATGCTGCCACCCACGTGAAGTCCTGCTTAGACTTGGAAATCCATGTCTACAAGGAGAAGAAACGGGAACTGAAAATAAAAAATAGAAAAAAAGGAAAAAAGAAAATATGTATTTCTTCCTACAAAAAAGGGAAAGTAACGTGGAACAAGGGCTTCCTATTTTTTTTATGCAAGACGTGGAAGATTGCACATTTAGTGGGATAGGTTAAGAGAAAGTGCACAATTAGTGGGAGAGGTTAAGAGAAAGTGGCGGAAGAGACGGCCTCCATCTCCCCACGTAAAAAAACTTTACAGCCCTCCTAGGATGTCTATAAATAGGCATCAGCTGCAGTAAGAAAGGAGAAAAGAATAAAAAAATAGGAGGAGGTACACTGCAGAAATTGAGAGACAACAGAGAAGAACAAACGGCAGAGATCTTGAGAAAGTTGGAGAGAAATCAAAGAAGTGAACTGCTGCGGAAATTCAACAAGACAAAGGCAAATAGAGAAGAGAATACACGACAAAGGAAAGCAACAAAGCATTTAAAGGTACAAATCCATCCTTCTAAATCTTTCTTTGTTTGGTTTCTCTCGGTTTTGCAGGAAAAAAAAACAATTTGCTTCTCCGACCTCTCCCATTCCCCAACTTTCTATCAAGTTGCAACCCAACAAACCGCAACAAACCACCACATCCCTCTGCCGCCGCGGCGATATACAATGGAGATTTCAGCAAAACACGCTGATTGGATTCAACCCAATTTCAAAAGGAAGAACCAATTGCATGGGTGCCTAAAGAAGTTTGGAAGTATGATTTGCGTGGAGGAACCAGCAAAACACGACGAAATCAATTCCGTTGATATATAATAAGGAGTAAGCCCTCTTTTTCTTCATTTCGAATAATCCAACAAATGCTTGGTAATGTTTGTTGGAGAAAAAGACATTATGAAAATTACACTTTTGGGACCATGGTGTGTCTTTATATAGAGATTTGAGATGCACATTTCAAATGCGATTCCTTCGATCGAATGAGATCATATCTGCTGCTATCTGTTGGCTGAGTTTTTCACATGCTTTCCAGCCAAGCTTTGTGTGGTAGTGTGGGAGAGTCTCTTATTAGTCTTGCTAGCATCTGCACTTCTGAATCTCCAACAAAGCTCTCAGCTTTTTAAGGTACAAAACAGTTTAAAAAATTTGGACGCCAATGTGATAATAATGTAGTACATGTGCGCGCCCATTTTGGTTTAGGAAATAGGTTACTTTAATATGTTGGTTGAATGGAAAGAAACTTACATCTGAGACGTTACTGTGATGGTGTTTTAATGTGTCTAACTTTGTCACATGATAGTTTGATACTGATTTGAGATACCGTCACAATGACATTTTAAGCACAGATAAGTTATTCTCAAAACGAGTCCAAAGTGACTTACTAGTCGGATCCAATGTGAGATCGATGTAACCTTTACTTCTAATTAAATGAACCTCTCTCTCTCGTTTTTCACCTATCTTAGCTTCATTTTTTTTCTATGTACTTCATTCTTCTATGTTCTACATTTAAGATTTATATAGCCAAGAACAAGATTAAGTTGCAGTAATCACAATCAAGAAAGCACAAAACCTATTGCATGTAAACTATTGCAATCACACTAACCTGATGTACCTCCATTGGAAAACGCCATGGCTGCTGCTGTCCAAGCTCAGTGCACTGCAATTCTTCTCCTCTCTGTCAGATTACTTAATGCTTTAACTAAGAATAGGACTTGGTTCTTAATCGAGCGTGTATCTGTGAGAGCAAAGATTACAACATATATATAGACATATATCTCTCCTAATCCAATAAGGATTCCCTATTAAAATCCCTGTAGGAAACAACTTATGTCTCCTAATCTATATCAGTTCACCACTATGATAGACTCCTCTATCAACAAGAACTCATATTCATCTTCCTATAAGGCTTTCTTAGACTAATTGGTCCAAATAGCTAATGCAAGTTCACCGAAAACTCATGTTCATATTCTTGCACTAAATAACTTATTAAGAGAGTTCATGTAATATCTTTTCTGCGATGAGAAGTCATTTTCCAACACAGGATGGTTGCACGATATGAGTGATTAGTTGACTGGTTACTCATATTCCGCGACTATCATGTCTTGCAACGAAGAAAACCTAGTGAATATTTTGAAATTGGACTTTCTTCTTTTTTCTTGTAGGGTCTAGTTTCCAATGGGCCACAATGAAGTGGGATGACATTATCATTACTATTATGGGTAAATTATATAGTAACCCCTCAGGTTTGAGGTCTATTACAACCCCATACAACATCTTTAAAACATTTCACTTTGATACCTCACGTACTGTTTTATTTCAAAATAATATCTCCGTTACATTTTCCATCCATTGATCCGTTAAGTACTGACGTGGCTGCCACGTTTGTGCCACATGGCTGCCAAATGTGTGCTGCGTGGCAAAAAAATAATTTTTAAAATTTTTTTTAAACTGAATTTTCTTAAAAAAAAAAAAACAAAAGCTGAAATAAATGCCCACAATGTAACATCCCACACCGCCCAGGGGAGTGATCCTTAAATGTATATTCTCATACCTACTTAGCACAAGGCATTTTGGGAGCTCACTGGCTTCGAATTCCATTGGAACTCCGAAGTTAAGCGAGTAGCGCGCTAGAGCAATCCAATGATGGGTGACCTACTGGGAAGTTCTAGTATGAGTTCCCAGAAACAAAATCGTGAGGGCGTGGTCGGGGCCCAAAGCGGACAATATCGCGCTACGGTGGTGGAGCGGGCCCGGGATGTGGTGGACCCCGGGCCGGGATGTGACACACAACCCCCCAAACCCATGAAGAAAAAAACCACCCCACCTCCTTGTTGATTATTCCCCCCACCCTCATCTCCCCTCTCCTCCTCCTCCCTCGACTGACCCCTACCCTCCCCCTCCTCCCGTGACTGACCTCGCCAATTATTCCCCCGCCCCCCACACACACTCAGAAAACCACATCTCTCCCTCCGTACCACCCTCTTCCCTCCTCTACACACCCCACTCCTTAAATCCAACACCCATTCCTCCCATCTTCACCTCACGAACCTAGCGTAAAAGGGATCTGAGTTTTTTTTTTTTTTGGGTTGCAGGTGGGGGGTTGGGGGAAGAAGATGAATATGGGGGAGAAGAAAAGGGAGGAGGAGGGGGAAAGACGAACTAAAGGGTTTTATTTTTTATTTTATTTTTTTCTGGGTTTCAGCTTTTGTTTTTGGTTTTTTTTTTTTTTTTAATTTAGAAGATTCAGGTTTTTTTTTTAAATATTTTTTTTGCCACGTGGCACACATTTGGCAGCCATGTCAGCGCTTAATAGATCAATGGATGGAAAATGTAACGGATGTATTATTTTGAAATAAAACAGTACGTGAGGTATGAAAGTGAAATGTTTTAAAGATGTTGTATGGGGTTGTAATAGACCTCAAACCTGAGAGGTTACTATGTAATTTACCCTACTATTATTTAAGAAGAAAACAAAACAATATGGAGTAAAGTACCCCACCCTTATATAATTTGTTAAAGCTAAAATTAAAGGATGCAATTGGACCGTTACCTTTGTTGGTTTTGGCCTTAAATTGTATCCTATTTTTGGTGGCCAATACATTATTTGGCAAGTGACTTCACCTCTAAAATATATATTTTGTATCCAAATTATTCATCTGCAAAATCCAAACTAAAGTTGTAGAATCTAATTTCTCTTCAAATCTTTTTGGTGAGGATTTTAGGAATATGTAAACCGTGTCTGTTCATCGTACATAATGTTTTTATCAGATATTGTTTGTATTTAATTTTAAATAAAAATATGTAAAATAATTTATGATAGCACGATGTACGATAAACGGATATAATTCATGGATTCCCGAAATCTTCACAAAGAGGATCTGGCGAGGATCCGATTACGAATCCAACAAACTAGGTCAGATGATGGGCTAGAAAATAACAATACTTGTGTTTATGTGCATGACATCACTTACCTTAAACATGATTACACAAAATCTCCAATTGTTAATTATTCCTTTATAACAATTAATTTTTTCTTTCTATTTGTATCTTCTACAAACTAAAGGCTCGTTTGAATGTGCTTTTAAAATAGCTGAAAGGGTTTTTAGTGAAATTGATTTTTGATTCCAAAAACACTTTAAGTGCTTTTTGGAAGAAGTATCAAATATTTAAAGTGTTTTTCTATAATACACTTGAATTTTACTAAAGATTAGTTTAAAAAATATTTTCACAAAAAACGATTCCAGTCATTTTAGAAGTATTTCGAAACGAGTCCCAATTATTTGTGTGACAAATTTTTCTTGTTGTCGGAGTTGGACATGAGAATAATCGTTATGCTTGAGTTAGTCTTTTATGTACGAGTAAACGACTATTCTTAACATATTTTATTCGACCCTTTAAATGACTAGCTACTCTTAACATTTTTTTTTTTTTTTGGTAGTTTTTGGACCACTGGTCTTATCATTTCTCGAAGTGATCAAGGTGGTTACTAGAGTGATTGATTTGCTTATTACTTGAAGGCAAATGGATGATCCCGTGACACAAAGTGGGAGACCATTTGGTAAGGTGGGTGCTACTTCACATCATGAATTACCAACATTGGTAATTGGTCGTTATCATTACCTATTTTACTTTATCTACTCAATCTTTGATTAAAAAAGTCAGAAGCTGTCCTAATTTAATACCCTACGTAAGCTATAATCCATTTGCATTTGTGGTTTTTTAGAAATGATACGATATTCTTTGAATGGAGAGATACCGTATAAATGATGAGGATATGGTTCTTAATAGTTCTCAATAAAAATTTTGTTAGGAATTTTAATTTGATCGAAGGAAAAAAAGAGTGTTCCGCACAAACAACTGAACAATTAACTATCCTCTAAAAATTTATTTTCAAAAGAGAAATAGTATTGGAATTTATATCAACAAAATCAGATTAAAAATAAAAATAAAAGTAAAATGGTTGTTTTATTCACATCCTACGTTTTGTTAACTACACCCCACATACTTAATACATTCCACATATACTTTTTAAATCAAAATTTATCTTAATGCGCCCCACATGTTTTCCAATACTATCCTCACACCCCATATTCTATATGTACACCCCATACGCTCTACTTAAACCCCACATCAATACGAAGAACGAATAAGGCGATGAACAAGCAAAGGAACTGGAGTCAAGTATGAAACAAATTTTTTCCCTATTCTCTATTCAATTTATAACATTGTCATCCGGTGGGGTTAAATAGCCCATACCTTCTGCCGATCTATTATTTGATAATTGGATTGCATATAAGATTGTATCGTTCCTTCTCAGTCCGAATATATATGAATTCACATGCACAACTATTTGGCGTTCTATCATGGTCAAAGCCAAATTTGTGAACACATTGCATTTTATTATATCAGTTGTTCTTCTAGGTTGCACCTGCAAAGTAAAAAAAAAGTATTGCTGGCTTTAAACTGACCAGTTTCCTTTTCCTTTTTCCAATTCTAAAATTTATCTCATCATAGAATCAAGCAAATTAAAGATCTGCAGAACGAGGATGAAAAATAATATTTTTCCATGTATTGTGCTTTTAGTAGATAGGATCTTGTTTTATAATGAAGGACGTGAGTGACTTTGAGAGCTTGAAGAAAAGCAATCTTAGAATACAAGTCTAAATTAACTTGGGGTGTATTTAGAAATTTTTTAGGCCTAAATAGTCATTTTATATTAGGTATATAAGCCACTTAGCAATAAACTTTTATGTGGAGTGTATTCAACAATAAGTGGAGTGTTAATAAAAAAATAAACAAAATAATATTATAAGTAGGAAACCACTATCTCTCATTTGTATTAAAATAAATACAGTTAATTAGTTTCTATTAATAATTCATCGCATATATTTCAATACATTTTTATTGAATATAAAATACATTTGCACTGAAAACCCGACCCTTTTACCCGGTTCCAGCTCTGAAATGGAGACGTATGCGTAACACGTGCGAGGAGCGAGGGAGGTTAGAGAAAAGAAAAGAAGAAGAGCCAGAGAGGCAAAGAGAGAGACATGCGTCGGGACTCGGAAGGAAAGAACAACAGCAATCAAATTAATTAAATAATAATAATTAATACTTAAATAAATACGTATTTTTTGTTCTTCTTGTTTGCAAGGAAGCAAACACAAAATTCTTCTCATATTTCCACCCCAACAGCACCGGGCGGGTCCTTTCTTCTTCTTGTTTTCTTATTGGTCTCTGCAACTCCTGATCACCCATCAAGTTCAATTTTTGTTTCTTCAGGTATTATTTTTTGTAATTTAATTTGTTTTTTTGTAATATTTATTGTATTTTTTGCTGAAAGAAGTAAAATCTGTGGAAGAACAGCTAACAGCTCGGAGAGGGAGATCGTTTTTTGAAACCATGGAACAGCTAGTCAACTTTATTATTCGGCCTCCCAGGTGAACAATTACCCTTTAGCCCTCAGTTTACTCTGTAGCTCTTAGATTTTGTATTTTTTGGATTTTGGGATTAGATTTTGTGATGGGTTTTTGTTTTTACTGTGTTTGGTTGCTGAGAAAGATGGATTTGGAGATGAAAGTTTGAATCTTTAGTTGCTTTCCTGTTTGGGTTCTCAAGGAAAAAGAAACCCTTTTGCTGAATTAGCCCAATTCAACTATTTGTTTATTTAGAATTCATAATTTTCTACTATTTCCTCTTTTTTAGTAGAAAGAAATAGAGTATGAAAGCATATGATTTGAAATTTGATTTGATTAGCGTATTTTTTTATGGTAGAGGTGGAGTTGAACCTTGTTTCTGTTTTTCTTCTCCTTCCTCGTATGTTGGAAAGCAAGATCATTTTGTGTAATTTCGGTATTTCTCTGTCCCATATTTGTTCTGGTGTTAATTTAAGATTTTGTGAAGTTTATTTGTTGAACATGATACTTTGAGTGATTTCTTTGCCTTTCAGAATTAGAAACCGAAATGATTTGTAACTGTTTGAAGAATATATGAGTTTACGGGTGTTTGGTTTCAGGGCTGAGTACGACCCACAAAATGATTTGTTGGATCAAGAGTTCATACTGAAAGGGAAATGGTACCAAAGAAAAGATGTGGAGGTAAGCTTTCCATATTCTGTATGTCCACGGAAGGTAGATTAAGTATTTTATTTCAGTTTCTGAACTTACAAGTGTTCGTCCTGTTGGAGGGCGTAAAAACCTTTTGGATATGCAACCCTTGTGATTGTTTGTCTCAGAATTTTTTTATCTTGCACATTATTTTCTGAATGATATTCACTTTCTGCCTGCTTATGACTTGAGAATTCCTGTGGTTGTCACTTGTCACCTTTTGATATAATGGTGTTTGAAAATCCTGCAGTTGAAAAATAGTCGGGGAGATGTCCTGAAGTGTAGCCATTACACGCCCATTGTTAGTCCAGAAGAAAAGCCTTTGCCTTGTGTAATATACTGTCATGGAAACAGGTATGAAAATTTATGCTTAGTTTGAGTTTCATTGTTTATTTCATGGGCGTTTCATCCAGTGTTTACAGCCTTTCTGACATTTCAGAACTTGGAAGATTGTGATTTTACTGCTAAAATATGGATTTCATGTAGTAACTAGTAACGAAACAATTCTAAATGCCCTTAATCTTCACCAAGAAAATGAGGTTGCTCGACAAATACTGAAGGTCATAGTTACCTCTGGTTTCACATTCTTTTTAACCCTAGGATATGCAAGCGATGTTTATCCGTAATGGTCACTTTGATTTAGAATTTCATATTAATATAGCCTGGAAGAGTACATCCAGTCACAATCTTATACCAGTAATGATTCACTGTAGAAGAATATAATACAAAATTATGTTATTCTCTTGAGGTTTACGTACAAAAGAGAAAACCTAGTTGTCTTTACATGGGCTCTGGGATTCAATGGTCCTCAGCAACCCTACTGATATTATTTGCACATATCACACGTGTGAAGCATACTTCATAGCTATGTCATCACTCATGTGTATGCTTGTTATGTCCCTCAGATCTAAATGATATTTTATGCCTTTTTATTTTTCCTCCATAGAATATAACGTGACTGACTGCAGCATATTGTGTTGACAGTGGGTGCAGGGCTGATGCCAGTGAAGCAGCCATTATTTTGCTTCCATCAAATATTACAGTTTTCACTCTTGATTTCTCCGGGTCCGGAATCTCCGGAGGAGATCATGTGACTTTAGGGTGGAATGAAGTAAGTACTCAATAACTATTTGTAACAGATTCATCATAACGACCGGAGCACAACAACGTGGAATGGGTTTCTTCCACTTTATTTCTATATTGTATGACGACTACTGTTGACTTAAAGAATTTGTAAGTTGAAATGGAAGGTGTAATAATGAGCCCACATAGAAGAGAGACTAATTTAAGAATTGGTCCATTGAGTATCCAAAATTGTAGTTAATATATCGTTGAGGGTGCTCCATACGTTTTCTTGGTTTGTCAAAACCGTCTTTGTGAAGATGAATGCTAACTTCTTTATGAAATTTTCTGTGTTTCTCCTTATTTATGCATGTAGTTACCATTCTGAATCAAGGGAATTGGCACCTGACTTTCTAACTATTTTTCAGAAGGACGACCTGAAGACTGTGGTTGATTATTTGCGAGCAGATGGAAATGTATCTTTGATTGGTTTGTGGGGCCGTTCAATGGGTGCTGTTACTAGGTTTTGCTCATTCACTTATTGCTTAATTGTAAACGTGCATATATGAATGTAGATGTAGGAGATCTTTCAGTTAATTGTATTGAAGGTTGAATAAATTTTGAAACACAAAAAAGGCGTATCGATGTTTCTGGAAGATTTTTATGGCCAGTAATTAGTTCATCATTTCTTCTGGTTCTTGGTATGGTGGCTAGAGTTATGACCATTTCATGAGCTCGTAACTTGATGGCTGCAAAGCCTCACATGGCACCTGTGGTTTTGAAACTATCTAATCAATCTGTACTTTTGCTTGTATTATATGTAATATTCCCCTAAGTGTTTGCATGTGGCCATTGTCCTCCTCAACTGATTGTATAATAAAATACGGGTAACATTGACGACCATAATAACAACAATTGAAGAGTCCATTAGGTTAAACAACAAGTGAAGAGATTATGGTGTGCAAGGTGGTGATAAGATATTTTAGTAAATGAACCATATGAAACCAGATGTACGCTCTGCATCAATACTTGGATCTTTGTTATTACTTGAGGGTTAGCGTATCTGCTTTTAACCATATACATATTTGGCAGTCTTTTGTATGGAGCTGAGGATCCTTCAATAGCAGGAATGGTTCTTGACAGTCCATTCTCTGATTTGGTTGATTTGATGATGGAATTGGTGGACACTTACAAAATTCGTTTGCCTAAGTTCACTGTAAGTAGATCCTATGTCTGATTGTCTGGGATGTTGCAACTGAATTTTGGTGCATATTGGGGAATAGATTGCTTTTAATTAAAGCCTTTCTGATGGTCGCTATCAGTTCTCGCCTATATTGGGCAATGAAGTTTTGTTGTTTATCAGTTGTAGCCGCATACTGAGTCATGACTGTTATAACCTCTGACCTTGACCTTTTTTTTTGCTTACTTAGGTGAAGTTTGCAATCCAATACATGCGGAGAGCTATCCAGAAAAAGGCAAAATTTGACATAATGAACCTGAACACCATTAAGGTACCTTATCTATGAATGTTTTTGAATCTAGGACAAAACACATTGGAATAGAAAACACAAATTTATGTTCTTTGTCACGATATTTCATTCTCTTAATTTCTGGTTGACTATATTTTTTTATTAGGTGGCAAGCTCTTGCTTTGTTCCAGCTTTGTTTGGGCATGCCATTGATGATGATTTCATACAACCCCATCATTCAGATCGTATATTTGAGGCGTATATGGTAAATATCCATAATGTGATTACTATAATTTTGGCATGATATACATTCTGGCATGCATCTTATGGGTGAATCTGTGTCTCGTACAATGTTTGGGTGCGTGTAGTGTCTCACACAGTGTTTACATGGAGTTGAAACAAATTAGAACTCTCAATTTTCTGTGACGTCTAATGAGTTTGGTATCATTACACAAACCAGCTAGCACTTAGTCTAGTGGTATTTCATATCCAATTGTAGAAGAGCTCCCAAGTTAGATTCTCCTCCCCAATAATAAAAGGAGATGCCTCCTGCTTCTACTCTCCCTTGGTTTTCATCATTCTGTCTTCCAAATATCCTTATGTAAATGAGAACTTTGCAGGGAGACAAAAACATCATCAAATTTGAGGGAGATCACAATTCTCCACGACCTCAATTCTACTTTGATTCTATAAACATCTTTTTCCACAATGTTTTGCAACCCCCGGAGGATGAGGTTGTGGAAACATTTTTTGACACTTTACACGAGACCTTTGGTAAGGTAAAAAAAACTGTGATTCATTTGGCTGTAAGTTTCTATTGTATAAGAATTGCTAGATTTAGCGTTCACAGCCCTTCTCAAATGTTGACTGCTGTACCTGCAGGGTAGTTGGAGAAGTGTGCACACAGCTGATTATGATCACGGATGTTCAACTGCTGCTACAGGTGATTAAAGTGCCTTATTTTCTCTTTAACTTCTCAAGTGCACAGGCTCTTTATTTGGCTAATCTCCTATTGATTACTTTTACCTGCAGAAGCACCACCTAGCAGCGGCCAACAGGATGCCATTAGACAACTCCGTTCAAGAAGACCCATGAGTCGGATGGAGGTTAGTAATTAGTTCATTCTTAATTTGTTTGCACAAATGAAAAACGATCCAGAATAAAGCATTTTGAATGATGTTTACTGTTCTGCAGGTGGATTAACTATATTTTTTTTCTTTTTATCTTCTATGATTTTTCCTCAGGTTCCTTCTGGCATTTCATCTACCGATGGCCAATCCGAATCCAAGGTATTTTGCATTTTCTCTTATGAAACTGCTTCCAAATCCCAAATTTTCTTCCTCGTAATTAACATGATGCAGTAACATGACATATGCCTGGTCACTTGATCAGTATTCTGAAATAATCACTCAAATTAATAAAAAAAAACCTTTGTGCCGCTGTAGCTGATACTTGTGACAGATTGGTACATGTTGTGGCTCACAAATTTTATGGTGCATTGGTGCCAGAGTAGTTCGAAGTCATCGTGTCTGGTTCTATCTGTTAACTATAAACATAACAGAGTTAAATGTCTTGATTATATATGGTGGTGCAGGATGGACAAACTGATAATGGCCCATCATCTTCTGATATGATTAGCTTTGAATTTGCTAATGGCAGTCCTTGTGGGCCCCATGTTCCAACCACGATGGACGATGATCAGTATGTAGAATACCAGCTTGATGACCTGGAAGGTTTTCCAAGTGATGTCGATGAGGAAGAAAGGGTGAGTTATATAGTTGATCTAGATGAGTTCTGGATTCAGGACCTTTTTGAATGACTGCTGAATTTGAATTAACGTTTAACTCGTCCAAATTACCAGATGTTAATGGAAGCAGTGATGTTATCACTAAAAGACTTAGAAATGAGAGGCCCTCAGGCAGATGAACCACCGCCCTGGGATACCCCTGATTCTTTAAATTTGTCGCAAAAAGATGACCAGCCTGATGATGCATCTACTGCAGAGAAGCGAGAGCTGTTGGAGACAGAATCTACTTCCACTTCAGTTGGGCACTTGGGATCCTCGAAAACAGAATCTATTTCTACTTCAGTAAGTAAATCCCACGACTCGAGACCTGAAGATCAAACTCCTACAAGGGTTCCAACAACAGAACCTGCATCACAAACGCCTCTATCCATAATGGATGGGAGCGCTGGGGCATCTAGCCAAAGCGATACATCAGAAAGCATCCAAAGAACATCAGATAGTGACTTGTCAGCCAAGACGACAGCCACAGTAACGGTGGTAAAAAATCCTGCAAGCAATGTCATGGATGGTTTGATACGGCGTTGGGATTTTAACTTCTTTAGAAACAACCACAGTCGATAGATGACTCTTTTCCTTATTTTTTTCGTTTTCTCCGTAGACAATATGATTGCATTTGTTTGTAACTAAAATGTCAGGGTTCATGATTTGTAAAATGCTCATCTGGAAAAGGAAAACCCAAACCGGAAAACGGAAAAGAATAGAAAGATTGCTGTGAAAATTGTATTGATTTTAGTTGTAACATAAAAAAAAAGGTTTCTTCTGGTTCCAGATTCTTATTCAGTGTCTACAACACAAATGAATATATTGTTTTGTTTTTCTCGGTGTTCTGATGTCTTCCTTTCATATGTACCACGTATAATTTTGAACAAGTTATGGTTGGTGAACGGACTCAGGACTTCAGGTGTAAGGGTGAATGCTATTGATAATGTCGTGACAAAAGGCAACAACTTCCTCCGGTTAAGTAGAAATTTGAATGGTGATAATTTGTGTATCGTGTTTACGGTTTAATTTACAGTACAAGAACTTTCTCCAAAAAATTAACGGAGTTCAAATATGTGTTTAAGTGAATTTGATGAATTTAAGGGCAAACATAAGTAATGAATTTGATGAATGCTGCATTATGCTGCATCATTTGACCCTTCAGCTAGCAACCCCAAGGCAGTCTCTACCAGCGAATGGATCGTCGTGCTGTGCCGGCTTATTCCTACGGTACCAGAGAAAATGTTGAAGCTTTCGAGTTCTGCGGTTGTCTCTAGCACAAAATCCAGCTCCTTTTCCATCCCCAAATCCCTGAAAACTCGGACGTTTTCCGGTTTGTCTCTCATCATACAAATTGCCAGCTCTATGGAAAACCTCCTTATTCTTGGAACTTTGATCGGTGGATGCCTGTACTTCTTCAGAATCTGGACTATTTCATTTGCCACTTCTCCCTCAGTGATTCCGGCTTTCTTAAACATGAGGTTTGATTCTTCGGGAGACAAGAATGTAAGAACCGGTGCTGCTAGTCCTACCATTGCTTCCTGCAGTTTGTGTTCGTCTGAAGTGATTGCTCGAAGCACCTGCAATCGAAGCCAAATGCATAAGAAATGAGTCTCTAGTGCAGAAAAAAAACCTACAGCGACTCTAGTCACATGTTATAGTTGATTTGTCAAACATATATATATCAGATTCTTTGGCAAGAAAACATTACTCGTACTTAACATATGTTAGTGCCGAATAAAAGTAGAGGTAGGTAATGTGGCAAGGAAGAACTTACTGTAGGTGCTGCATTTGTAATTCCCTTCAGCTGGTGGAAACAGTTTGAGCCGTTGTAGGTGCACAGATTCCTAAGAATCCTAGCAGCATTTACACGAAGCAATTGAACCTCAAGAGCTTCAACGAGGTTTTCCAGTACTCCCAATTTTAACATCCGCAGACAATTATTCTTGCTCTCCAACACCAGCATAGCCAGCGCTTCTCCAGCTTTGGTCCTCACCTGTTTATTATTCTCCAGCATTCCCTTGTTGAAGAAAATGCTGAACAACTCCTTAAGAACTCCACCTGTTCCACCTACTCTCTCAGTTGCATCTGCTTCCAGCGCCAAACTCGTTAAGATTTCAATTCCCAATTGTTGCAGCATTGGATGCTTCTCTCCATATCTCAAAATATCTCTAATATTGCTGATTGTGAAAACTATCTCCGAAAGATTTCTCCTTAGGTTCTTTCCTGTGTTTCCGGTTGTGCTTGCAAGCCTCTTCACCAACTGGAGTGATCGTTTTAGCGTCAGTATTTGATCGTGTGGCATATCAGTCACTTCTTTTAGAAGCCTCTCGTCAGCATGCGTAAAGTCTATGATCTTGGGCAGGAGGCCTCTTGTGTTTCCAATCTTCCCACAGTTGTCGTGAACACGTGCAAGTTTCTTCAAAATAAGTAATCCCAAATGGTTGAATGTCAAGAATCCGTAGTTTGGGTGGTCAGAAATGATCCTGTTTTCACTGATCTCGTCAGCTGCACCACTTGAGCTCCTGCAGGTTTGGAGCAGAGATGAGATTGATTCCATTGCGCCGGGAACTCCAGCTACCCGAATGGAGTTCTGATTTTTGCCAGCGAGTTTTGACAAAATCTGTGCTGCTGACCTTCTGATCTCCTCCTCCTCTTGATCTGTCCAATTCAAAATCTCAATCAATCTTTCAATCACCGCAATATTTAGACCAATCTTCTGCAATGTATCATCTGAATACCGATGGTTCATTGAAAACTGTCGAAGAATTCTCGCTCCAATGAGCTTCTCATCAGGGGAATTCGAACCCAACAAGTCTATTCCAAAAGTAACCATATCCATCTTCAAGCCATCAAAAATGCTTCCATCAACACACCTCGAATACGCATCATAAAAAAACCTCCTAACCGAAACCAACCCCGAAGGCCCCAAATCACACTCCTCGTTCACCTCCTCCAACAATTTACAATAGCTTATCATAATCTCACCGTAAGCTTTCTCCATAAGAAACAACAGAGCTTCTGCCAATGCTAACGAATAAAATATAATAAGAGCAGACTGCCTGTTCCTCTTGTCAGTGTCCCCCTTTGCGACCTCTCCATAGTTGTGCTTCACGAGCTTCACCAGCGAAAGAGCCACGCATGATGAGGCGGACAGGAGCTGGAGCCAGTAGAGCAGCTTACTTATATGCTTTGCGCGAAAAATCCATTGCGCGTAAGGCAGGAGAGGGACTTCCGAGCTAGTCCAAGTCCGGACTATCTTCCTCTGAAGATCAGAGTTTCGCGACGACTCTGAACTTCCATTAGTCCTCGTAATGTCTCTGCTGCGTTGACTTTGTTTCCTGACTGCAAGTTTCTGCACAGGCCTGAAAAATGCTCTGATGCTGTGGATCACGGCACTTGAGCTGATTCGCAGTTCACGAAAGCTGTTGATACCAGCATCGGTTATGGACCACGTGGCCTGGTGCTGCCACTCCAGCTCATGGCTCCTGCTGAAAATTCTTGTCCCTTCTATCAGCAAAATGATCGTGATGAACCAGAAGTCGGTCTTGTCTAATACAATGGCGAAACCGCCTAGCAGAACCACCGTTGCCCAGATGAAACCGAGGGTTCCTAGGCCGGTTGCTGTCTTTTCGAGCACTGCTAGACGGAGCGCGAAAAGGGTCAGCTTTTTCTCTGGTGCTGGGACTGGCTGTGCAGTTGGAGGACCAACGGAAGCTGTAGCGCTGCTGTCTGTCTTCTCAATGCTGTTCTGAGGCTCGAACACTGTGTTGATCGTGGTGCTGCTTGTTTCGTTGAGGCGGGGATGAAGAAGCTCGTCAATCTGCAAATGAATGCTTCCTTCACCTTCTCCTGAGTTATTATGCTCAACCATGTTGCTCTCTCTCTCTCTCTCTCTCTCTCCCTCTCTCTCTCTAGTTTTTCAAACGTAGAAGATTAGGCGAGATTAGCTCCTCTAGATGGCGGAAACACTCGTGGCCCTCAATTCCGATTCTCCTCCTCTCCCGGTCTCGATTTTCGATCAAATATGATTGTATTGCAGAAGTAGATGATAGAATTGAAGCCGTAGAAAAGGATGAGGGGATGGATTTATAAACAAGGATGGCGGAAAATGAGCTTGGGGAGCACGTTTAATCTGTGGAAATGGAGAGGAAAGAGTGGACGTCATATTTTGCTTTTGTAATTTTCCTCCTTATTTAACTCCTAAGTTTGTTATGTTTTGTTGGAAATTCAGTTTTTGCTCTTCTTCCCTTAGATTCAACGTCTCTTTCTTGCTTCCACTAATTAGTTTATTGATTAGCAATCAAATTGGTTAGAGTAGTATTTTTTTTATGCGGGATCCATTCTAACAATTATCTTAATATATGGTGAATTTTCAAGTCTAGTACATGGACAACACAAATTGGGTGTCGTGGAGCACGTGTGATCATTGTGCTTCACACACAGGACAATCTGGATTTGATACGATACTAACTACATTGAAATATTTGAGAATTGAAGAGAAAACGAAGAAAAAAAGATGAACCGTGAGTGATAATGTTGAATCTCCTAAGTTAGAGAATAACTTTCATACCATGATGATACTATTGGTATGATGTCTTGTTCCAATCATGAAATATTGGGAAGAGGATCCGCCTTCTCATCAAACAATCTGGACTGCATAAATTAAATTAAACGGTTTCTATTAATTTATTTTTCTGGTCACCACACACAACCAACGGCCCTGATTTTACTTGCACACGAATCAGCGGCCCAAATTACTTGATGAGGAGGTTCCGAACACTAAGATCCGGAACAGATCCTCTTCCTAAATATTGTGCATAAGTTTTGTATACATGGCATTATATTAGAATAAAGTTGATAAAAGCAACTAATAGACAGAGAAGCCTACCTACTTTCAATAAGCAAAAAGTGCCCTTTATATATAACTTTTCACTTTATCTGAAAGAAAACCAATAAGAAAGAAAGGGTGGAATTTGCTTGGTGTTTTTCTCTCAAATTTCCACTTTACCATGTCTCGTAGCCTGGAGACATTGACTTATACTTTTTTTTTTTCTAAAGACATTATGTTTCCAAAAATCGCTTCTGCAAATCACATTCTGATCCATGTACAAAAACAATTTAGTAAACATAAAAGAAATTTTATGCACGTCAAACAACTGGAAAAAAGGACCTGAGTATTTTCCTTTTGTTTTGACGATTCTTAGAGATATCCGCATATGTCTTTTTTTTATATAATTGTAGCTCCTAATCAATAATTTCCTCCTAGTCTTCCTCTTATTAGATAAACTTTCCAATGAAATTCTATATTAATATATTATGCCAACTAAGCATCTGATAATGGTTAGGATATGAGGACATAATGTTTTTAAACTAACCAAAATTTGAGTCCTATTAATTAATTTAAAACTCCAGAGCATTTGCTCTTGCATCCGATACTTCTCGTGTTCAAATCTCCCTTCCTATAGTTTAATATAGATTATGGTATCGTTTATAAAAAAAAAGAATAATAATTCAAAACTCCATCTAATCATATACATGCATAAGCCAGCATAATTGTTCCTCTAAGATCAATTTATTAAAAAGATAGTGGATATATTAAAAAGAATATTCCTCTTATGTGTAGGATTCGCAAATTAGTTGGTCATGGTTTGCAGAAAAAGGTTTTTATTAGTTCTATCTAGACATTCATTTTTACTTTTGATACATTCCTCTTAATTTTCAGCTGTCAAATTAAACGAATTAAGGAATAATAGTGCTTCTTTTTTTATCAAATCTTGCATAAAAGGGTTATGAGTTCATTTGTGTCAAGTTGAAGGCTCAGATGGGTCCCGCTCCCTGCTTTCCTACAATCCCTTTTGAGTTTGAGTGCACGGATCCAATTTCTGTGGAAGAGTGTTTTGGGCAACAGCTAATAAGCCTCAAAGGCCGTGGCTTTTAGTTCTAGTTAATAAAGGTTGCATTTGATCTTTATTGGCTCTAAACTTGGTTCCTTTTAGTTAATTCCACGTACATAGAAAGTCTCAAGCCGAGTGATTTTCGGTTTATTTGGAACACGGCTACGTGATGCTACTAATTCACTAAATCATGTTACATGATTTTCAGTTTATTTGGAACACCTCTACGTAATGATACTATACCACTGTAGTTTGTAGTTGCATTCCTAACCAATCAAAAAGTTACAGTACTTGATTGTTTTGAGATGCCGCCACAACTGTATCTAAGTTTTAGGTAATCTCTCCATAATAGTGGAATGAGTAGTGGAAGCAACATTTTAGAATTAGGTATTGAATGAGTCTGCTGTTTTGGGTAGACTTCAAGTTTAAAGTCATGGGTGTTGAATGAGTCCTATGGAGATTAGGTTAGATGCTCGAGTAAGACAATTTGGCTGTGCTAGGGAGGAAGGCATATTTTAGACAACTTGATCAAATTCTTCTACCTAAGCCAGGTAATGACCAATCTTCCCGTGGGGCAGCATCGAAAGTTCGAAACTATCAACCAAATCAACTCATCACATAAAATTGAATCTTCAATTCAGACTGACTAATACTATATAGAATAGCAGCAACAGTTGCTGACATACGAAAAAAAAAACAGATAGCGGCATATACCAACGTTCTCAGGCATTTTCAGAACAAACAGAATACAGCAAAAACAAGCAACACTAAGCACTTCAGGTCCCTCTCTTAGCTAAATTCCAGCTCAAAGTAGAAAACAAAAACTACAGTGTGCCTCGAAGCTTATTAAGCTATAGGATGGCAAGAGGAATTCAACGTCAACACACATCAGCGTTTAATCTATACGAATTCAAGACAAACAAAGAGATGACAATGGGGTAGGATTGAATTATGAACTTAACCACTTAAACATCATCATGAAACATAGCAGTCTATACATTGGAAAATATAAAATTAAATGTATGATGCAAAATCTAATTCTGGACTATCGATACCTGACCAAGAAAATCCAACCGGTGAGCAGCTTGGGTTATGAATTGGGAAAACTTTGTAGCCCATGAGCAGAAATTATTTAAAAATAGGAACTTTATGCATGTTTAACAAGCCTAGCTACAACACATCAGATACATGTCAATGGCCACTAGATTAACTAACAGACTTTGCATAATGGTTCAGTAAATATTTGCAGCCTTCAAGTGACAAACAAAACCAGATAATTCTTTGAACCAGTTGAGCATAAGATGGGGAATACCAGAATAGGCAGGTTGAGAAGACAGGTTCGGCATTTAGACGGCCATAGATGATATCTGATAGCAAGGAGATCGAAACCAGATTTCACTCTAAACATGCAAAAGCTAACATAGATTGATTTCGCTAATTCACCTGTTTAAATGTCCTGCTAATATACAAAGACAGGACTTCTGTAAACGTTGAGCAAAGCCAGCGTGAAGTGAAGCATTTTGGTTCAGTATGGAGCACAATGGTTATCAAAGGGTTGTATAGCAATAAAAAGATGTCACTAATTATTGCTTATCTCGTAACGAACTCATTTTACTAAAAATTTGTGCCATAAACATCTCCAATAAAAAGGTCGTACCCAGTGCACAAGGCTCCCGCTTTACGCAGGGTCTGGGAGAGGTGAATGTCGGCTAATTAGGGCATCAAATTCGGGCATACCTTCCACTAATTAGGGCATCAAATTCGATCATATCTAACACCGTGTGCTCAAGGATCATTAGTGTGCATACATGCTTAATAAAGATAACTTCAATAAAGATAATAGCTTGCTTCCAATTTCTTGAACAGCACATTGTGATTCTGTGAACTGCAACTACTTAAAGCAGTTGATTTTCCTAGGTTCTAAAATTCACATTCAAATTGTTACAAAATAAACAACTTCCTATAAACCATTAGAACTTGGATCATAGCGTGCCTTCTTCCACACGCGAAACTAATCCATTCAAATTGAACAATTTATAACTAAGATTAAACTCGTAAAACACAAATTCGACCCGCTACCACATTTACCTCCACAGCTATATCACAGAACTCTTCTGCTGCACCTTAGCTTTCTCCGCGTCGATAATGGACTCCACCAACTTCACCGCATTGTCCAACCTCCCCTCCGCATTCACCACCACATAATCGAAATTCTTAACGTGCTTCACCTCCTCCCTAGCAGTCGCAACCCTCACAAGAAGCGATTCCTTCGTCTCGGTTTTCCGGTCAATCAGCCTCTCCACAAGCTTGGCCTCACTCTCCGCCATCAAAAATATGAAAACAGCCGAGTTCCCAAGAATCTTCCTCAGAGTATGAGCACCCTGGATGTCGACTCTCAAAACGATGTCGTACCCTTTCCCCAATTCATCCCTAATCTGCTGTTTGGGAATCCCCTTGTAGTCTCCATACACCAGCGCGTACTCCAGAAGCTCGTTCCTCTCCACCATTGTCAAAAACTCGTCTTTGCTCACAAAGTAATAATCTTTGCCGTGAACTTCGCCGGGACGCATTGCGCGGGTCGTCGCCGTTACCACGAAATGCAAGTTCTCGTTGGAATCCTTGAGCTTTTTTATGACGGCGTCCTTCCCGACGCCGCTGGGGCCGCTGATGACGATAATTAGGGGGCTTGGGCTGGGCCAGAGCGGCTCGGAGCTGAAGGCCGATCCCAGAGAAGACTCCAGAGCGCGGAGGAGCTCGGAGCGGTCGGCTTTTTCGATGTGGGGAATGGGAACCGAACCGGGTCGACGGGCGTCGCCCATTTGGGAGGATAAGGGTCGGGTGTTGGAGGGAAGTGAGAGGGTGGGTTTTGGGTAGGGGCGGTGGAGGGAATTCGGGGATGGGAGGATTTTGGGGCGGAGGAGGAGGAGGGGAGGAGGGGAAGAGCGAGAGAGAGAGGAGGTGAGGAATCTGCGAAACATCGAGAGGGAGATAGAGAAGGGAGGAAGGTAGATGGGGGTGCACTATATGAGGTTGGGGAAGCAGAGCATGGAATCGAAGCTCTGAGGTTAACGGTTAAAGTAGATATGATCCCTTTTTGGGCTGAGCCTAACCAACACCAACAAGGCTTGGGGCCTTGGGGCCTTGGAAAGGATGGCATGCGGCGGCACCGTGCAATTTAAGGGTATGTATTGTGTAGAGAAAAGGAAATATACGGAAGATGTCCACTATCACCTGGTGTTTCAATTTAGTAAAATATGAAATTTATTCAAACGATATGCTACGATAGTGTAAATTCATCTATACAAGTTACTCTTGTTATACGAAGTTTCATGGATTTTAATAATTGCAAGTGGCTTGTGGTTACAGTTGGTTGAGAACATTCGCTTATGCACTTGATATCTCCTTTTTGAATCTCTCTTCTCGTAAGAGCAAGTTCACTCATTTTAGGAAGGCAAGGGTAAGGGCAAGGCATTGAAATTGTCCTTACTATTCATTATGAATAGTAATTGTCTTTGTGCAAGTCCACTCATTTTGGAAGAGTAAAAACGATTACTAGTACAACTATATTTTCAACCACTCTCATTGCGTCATGTGTCATTATCCATTAATGGCAAAGTAGTTATCAAAGGTAGCATTGAGGGGAAATGAAATGTGCGATCGAACAGGGCCCCAAATCCTCAAAAAAATTTCCATCTAAAATTTATATGTAATAATGCTATATATTAAATAAATAATTGCTTTTATTAGCACTTTAAAATCTCATTGTGCATTTCCTTGTAAGTGTCAAAAAAAAATTTGTTTCTAAATATAAAAATTTGTAGTAAAATGAGATATTTAAAGTGTTAATAACAACACCCTAAAAACGATTTTTTTTTCAATTCTATTATATAATAATGTTATATATTCAAGTGAAACATTGAAGTTAGAGTTTTTGAAGGTTATATTTGTAGTTCTTTTACTTATTATTTAATGACATTTATAAATTTACAATCAGTGAGTCTTAACTTTGTTTTGATTTAAGTTATTGTTTTCTAACATCAGTACATTGTCTTGCGTTCTTCTTAGCAATAATTATTGTAGTAGGATAATGACTAGGAGGATTTGAAGGGCATTATGACATTAATATTTCCAAGGCTTAGCTTAGGACCCTACTACTCGTTGTATTTGATTTGGTATTGCTAGGGGTGGATTTTTTTCCCGAAAATCCCGAACCGTCCCGATCCCGTCCCGAAATTATCCCGAAAAATTCCCGAAACAAATTTCCCGAAACATTCGGTACCCGAAACCGATCCCGACCCGAAAGTTTCGGTTTGGGATTTGGCCACAGATTTGAAATCTTTCGGGAATCCCGAACCGAACCGAATATTATATATATATATATTTATTTATTTTTAATTTTTAATTAGGAATTACTTGAACCGTTGGATTTGTTAAAATCAAATCCAACCGTCCATAGTTAGGTCATTTGTTTGTTAGAACTTAGGTTATCATCAGACTCTCTCAGTCGCTCTCGCTCTCTCACCTCACTGGCGCCGCTCACCTCTCTCAGTCGCTCTCGCTCTCTCACCTCTCTCAGTCGCTCTCGCTCTCTCACCTCACTGGCGCCGTTCACCTCTCTCAGTCGCTCTCGCTCTCTCACCTCCTGGGGTTCGCGGCGGAAGGTCCGAAGATTAGGATAAGAGCTTTTGTGGAAGGCGGAGCTGGAATCTGCTGTGGCGCGAACAGAGGAGCTGTGGCGAGGAAGGACTTGGTGTTCGAGCCTCTCTCTGAGGACTCGCACAGGCTCTGGTGCCAGAAGCTCGGGGATTACATCGATTCTCTCGGTAATTTAATTTGTAATCTGCTTGCGTCGTGACTCGTGTTTGGTTGATAGGAAAATGCAGGAAAATGAAACGAATATTTGGAAAAAGTTTGACTTTTCGTTGCAGCTATAAGAAACATGAGCAATGCAATATTGTGATTGAGCACACTCTGTCGAGGAATCAAAATACTTACACTGACGAACTTTGCTTTATTTCTCTTTTCCCTCAATGAAGTTAGATTTTGTTTGCAGGGAGAGCTGCTGGTAATTTGGTAAACGTAGTGTTATGTTTTTTGTGCAAACGTTAAGCTGTGATGGTTTTTAATTGAATTAAGTAGTGTTATTAGACTGTAAACAAATATAATCTCATTTATTTCGAACACATTTTACTCATTCATATGGATGTTAAGTTTTAATTTGTTTTTGCTTTCTCCGGTACATTTTTCATTTGGATGCCCTGCCATTTTTCATTTTTCAATCCCTGCTATTTGGCATGCCCTGCTATTTTTGCATGCCCTGCTATTTGGCAGAAAATATTGTTCTCTTTGCATGCCCTGCAACGATTGTGAAGACTTGGTTAGTGTGTGTGATACTTAATTTTGGCAATTTGATTTTGTATTCAGGTCAGATTTTAAAGCAGCTATCATAGATAAGTAGCAGGGAGGTTCTAACTTCTAAGTTTAAACAAGAGCTCAATAACAAACAGGTCAGATTTTGCACTCTGTCAATATGTAATGTGATATATATAATGTGGTATACATGTGCACTCTCTGTCGATATATGTAATCTGATATATATGTGCATTTTGTGATATATTGTTTGTATTGAAAAATATTACATCTCAATGACTTGATTTTATTTAAGTGGATGAAAATAACCTAATTGTAAATATCAGTTTATGAATATTATATATATGCTGAAATGTGTTGTGATATATTATTGTGCATTGTCAGGATGGATGGTTCTGGTAGTGGTAGTGGTAGCCAATCACAATCTACTAGTACACCTAGGATCTCGGTTTTAGTAAAACGAAAACCACAGTACATTCGAACTCAAGAATACTTTGAAGATTATTGTGATGATGATCCGGATATGGATGCTGATATAGGGTTAGAAGAAATAGATGAAGAAATAGAGGAAGAAGAAGGTGAGGAGGAGGAGGATAGTGTTGAATTGGACAGGTGGCAAATGCCTACAATTGACGATTGACGATCTTATGTTCTACAAGGAACTTGAAGAGTTGGAGAAGGGTAAGTGAAGTATTTGATTTCATGTTTTCATTTTCTTAGTTTTAAAATTTATGCATTCACTATCTAAATATATTTTGTGTTTTATTGTTTTTATCGTTTTAGAGTTGCCTAATATGGGAGGTGAGGAGAATCCCACACAAGGTGAAATGCCACCTCCTCCACCACCTCAAGTTCAACGCCGTCCATCATTACCTCCACGACCACGACCACCCATTTCAAGAGCATCTAATCCAACACAAAGGAGGGTTCAATTATCAACAAGAGGAAGGGGTCCATCACCACCATCAACACCAACGTCAACGGGTCATTCATCAACAAGGGGAAGAGGCCGAAGGGGCTAAAGGAAATGAACTACGTTTATAAACTATGTTTTTCTTTTGGTTTGTAATTTAATCTAAATTCATTCGGAAGTTTGGTTTGTAAAATTTAACTTATTTCATTTTGGTTGCATGCACTTATTTCATTTTGGTTGCATGCATTTTGGTATGAAAATTGAAACAGGTGTGGTATTGTGAATCTGTGATATTGTGATGAAATTGAAACAAGTGGGCTGCCTGTGCTTGTACGCGCAGTGGATGGTTGCAATTGCCAATTGTAACCCTTTTTTTTTTTTTTTTATGAAAAAAGGGTGGGCTTACCCTTTAAATGGTGGGCTTACTCTTTAAAAGCCCAACATTTTGGGCTTCAAATTGTAAAAAGCTTAAAATTGTAAAAAGTTATAAAAGCCCAACATTTTGGGCTTTAAGGCCCAATCCCGAAGTTTCCCGAAAATCCCGAAACACTTTCGGGAATCCCGAATTTCGGGATTCCAATAGTTTTGGTTCGGTTTCGGGATATAAAATCCAATCCCGAAATGTTTTGGTTTGGGAATCGGGTTCGGGGTTTCAGTTCGGGATCCCGACCCGAACCAGCCCTAGGTATTGCTATCGCACAAGACTTCAAGAGTCATGATGATATTACTAAGGAATGTTTTTATCAAAATATTTTTGCTTCTCATTTCAGGCAATTAGCAATAATTTTTTTGTGGACTTCCGAAAATCTGTTTCATGTAGCTTGGCAAAGAAATTTTGATGCATGGGTACTTTTTCTTAAAAACCTATCTTAAGAAGGGGTCTTTTTATAAATTTCACACACGACCCCTAAAATCTCAAAGACGGCTCTGATTGTTATGCAATGCCTCCATGAACCTCCCTAAAAAGAAAGGTCTGTTGTAGCTTGTAAACCTGCTCAACAAAATGTCAAAAACCAATGATTGCTTGAAGGTGTTCGGAAGAGCTACCAAATAATGCCAGTGAGTCCAAGAATTTTCCTACGGATGGGCGACGTGCAAAACTCCCAAGAATTTTAAACCAAAAATACTCATATAAATAATAAATCAAATTATACTTTTTTTATTTTTTTATAGAGCGAGTTTGATTCCCATCGGTTTTCTTTTCCTTGTCAAATTGTGAAATCTCATCCCCGAAATTTCACTATTCATTACGTATCTTGTAATTTAAATTCGTATTTCACGTTTATGTTATTTTCATTAGTTAATTTTAACTCCGTTAGTTTTAGGAATTAAATCGATTAGTTATTCGGTTTGAATTTTTGTAATTAATCTTTAAAATTCGTTAACCTTTTGAAGTCACAATTAGTGTTTTCAAATAGATCTCGAAACCACGAGTCGTAGGCGAAAGCCGTTTGCAAGTCTGGGTTATAACGGTATAGTACAGACGTTTGAATTGTTATTTAAATTTTAGTTTATAAATTAAGTAAACTCCCACTAGGTGGGAATTACTTTAGTCTAAAGAAGGCTTTTCAATTACACTGTACAAATGAATAGTCTTTGGAGCCAAATTTCACTTTATTTACGAGGCTGCCTCTGACTCTCTCTGCTACTGATCTTCATGTCACGTGTTGATGATCGTGGAAAGGCAGGGGTGCGATGGTCATTTTAGTTTGTAGGGTTTCGAACGGGTTGGGTGGGTTAGAGACTTTCATTTCCTTTCTTTCTGAGTTGCAGTGGGACTCAGCGAGACCATGCCATTGGGAGAAAGAGACCTAGCGAGTAGAGAGAGAAGAAAGACACAGAGGGAGAGAGATAGGGATTTGGTAAGAGGAAGGCATGCGGCTTGCAAGCAGACAAAGTCACAGGGGGTGTACGATTTGAGGGAGAGGGAGACAGCGCGAAAGAGAGAGTATGAGATAGAGGAGTAAGGATCTCTCGCTGAAGAGAAGGAGTCAGAGACAGAGCGACAGTGAGAGAAGGAAAGGGAATAGTGGGGATCTCAGTGCCATTGCTGCTGATCCTTGATCTTCTTTGATCCCATCTCCGTGTTCTTCTCAACCTTTCACAGTCACAGCATCACTCGCCCACTGACTCACTTACTCACTACAGGTACACCTTTTAAACTCCCTTTTGTATTCTTATCTTTCCTGATTGATGATTTAATTTGGGTTTTATTAATAGTTTAATTTGGAGTTTAATTGAAGGTTTAATTCAGGTTTGTAGTTGGGGGTTTAATTGAGGGTTTTACTTAGGTTTTGAATTAGGTGGGTTTTTGGTATTTCATCTCCCCAAGTTTTTCACTTTCATTGTGGATTGTTGTTTTTGGATTTAATTAGCTTTGGGTTTTTCATTTTTCTCAAATTCCCAGTTGATTAGGCTTCCAAATAAAAACCAACAAATCACCTATAAAAAGAGCTCCCATTTGTAATTTGAGGAGATTTGTTGGGTTTTGTTTGGTTGCCCCAGACAATGGATAATAAGGGTTTTGTTTGAATGTCTGCTTGCTCTGCCCTTGTTTCTTAAATGATTTGTGGGCCGCTGCTTCCATTATGTTTCCATTCAGTTCTTTACAATCTTAGACTCTTTGATTGCATTGGTATGTGATATGTTGTTTTTCCCCCTCTATGCATTGTTCAGCTGAACGATGAGTACTCTGATGTGAAAAAAGATGACCTCTCGAAGGCACTATGGTATGATTTGTTTATTTTTATTCTTCGTTATGGCAAACCACTAATAGTAGGCTTTCACTATTACTGGTTCAGCCCCTCTGTTGCCTAAATTGTTCAATGCTATAATTCTCTGGGTTTCTGAACTTTGTTATGTTCATTTTACAAGGGGGTACAGCTTCTTAGATGATTTCTTTTGATTTTTGTTCTTGACATTGTTGCTAACACAAAAATTTCTGATTAAATTGTTATTGGCCAATGACTATGTTCATATTAATATACAATGTTCTTTATGGCTTGACTTGGTCTAGGACTTTGACTCTCTGAGTGCACATGAGAATGCTTTTTCTCTAATACTTTTACAATAAATATAGGAAGTTGTAACTGGAACATGATAGAATTGTAAAGCAGTTCTGAATACCTCTTTTTTATTATTAGTATGTATATATATAAAGGCTTGCCTTACAAATTAAGGCACCTGAAGAGAAGGAAAATTGTACTTGGGTGTATGAGAAACTTATATTTTATTGCTCTATGTTTGCTTTTCCAAAGCAACAATTAAGATGGCAACAAAACAACGTGACATTTGAAGCTACATTGGATTTATGTTTTTGATGTGGTAAGTACATTGTTAGGGCTATAGATTTGGATTGAACTCAATGTTGTCCGTATATATAAATATATGTGTGTGTAAATAGATTTATACATAAAGGGAAGATGGATGGATAGGTGTATGCTTAGTCCATAAGAGAAGAAGAGAAAACGAAAACCATACCAAACAACTCACATTTTAAGCTCTTTTTCTTTTTCTCTTTTGACATAAATCTCTCTTTGTTAGATTGCTAGGGGGTTGCACTGTGTGAGGGCCATGTATGTTTTATTACGGTCGTATCTATAGATTTGGGAATTGGGGAAAATAAGTGAAACAAACCATTTGCATGGCAGATGCCGTATATCATATATACCAGTTAGATCTGATCAATGTGTTGCCTAACAAATTGGTGGGTTGAGAACTTGGAATCTTTAAAGGAAATGCCTCATGAGACTTTTGATATTCATTATTTAGCTGTTGAAAGTTTGCAACTTTTTGTTGGGGTCTTAAAAAAGTTAGGACTGGTTCCCATTTGTCTTGTACGGTGAGAAGTGAGAACCTTTAGTTAATGGGGTTTGTGTTTTATTCAGATTAATTTGGTTCATTTGCTGCTAGGACAGTTGCAATTTCAAGTAATTTTCTTTTTTGTGTATATTATGTTAGTAATTTATAAATAAAATGCTAAACGACTTACATATTTGATTCGAATTTTGCATGTTTGTGATTTTTAGGATTGCACTCTTACTGTGCAACATCTTCAAAGATACCAGGTGGCTGGACTAATTGTTTGCAAGTTTGTCAAATGTATGAGGAAGAAGGACTTTTACATGAAGTGTTGCACATAGGTATTTTTCAAAATTATACAACAATATAATTT